TGTTATTTAACTCAAGGCATTGGTTTAAATTTCATTCTTTAATATTTAATATAACAATGTAATGATGTGTTTGCGCACGATCGTGGTAAAGTTTATTAAATTTTAAGGGACGCGACTCTAGCTCTCTCCCGTATCGAAAGATTGATGTTCGAAATATTACGTGGTCGTTCCCACCGCGAGGGACTGCTTTGGTAGTCGAATGTGCGACGGTGATGGCGATTACTGGCAAACGTTGGTGGTGTCGGTGGCCTAGATATGTTCTCGGGGGGGCGATGACCTTTGTACCTCGATTATCGAACAACCGAAGGCAGCACGGGGTGTGCAGGTGCATACACCGCTGAAAAAACACGGCAAATTCCTTCTTCCTCTTTCCCTTGTAATCCGAGAGATTCAACCACCCCCCTGTTGACGCGCTAACGATAAGTACGATCTCGCGTGACCGCCGTTCACGAGGAAACGCGAGAAAATAAACAGAAAAACATGTTTCCTACGTCCCCCCGACCCTTCGTCTGATTTACGGCGGCTGAAGTGCGATTTTTTGTATGTGATTTAACGCGATTGAAATCGGGGGACACCCTCGAGGTCACGAGGACCGAACGGGAGATCCTCGATTTCAGAATTGAGGAATTACGCGGAATTACGCGGCGCGGGGTATACGCGCATAAAACAATCGGATATACGGCTGTTATCGCTTTAGAAGGGCGTAAAGTGGAACGCTGGCCTGATTCCCCGATGTCATGGTTGCAGCTCCACGTGCATCGTATATAATAGCGTAGGCCGAGTTATAGGCGCGCGCGAATGTGCAACTAGTATCGCCGCTATCTCGCTACCCTGGATTTCTGCCAGAATCTTCAGGGACTACAGAGGGAGCGGAGGAGGGGTGAGGGACGGAGGGGGCGGGGGGAGAAAAGGATATCCGGCGTCTTTGTAAATCCGTGCGATTCCGCATATCGCTCGATTTTACGCATGAGTCGTGTGCGTGCTTCGTTCCTCCTTTTTTTTCTTTTAAATGGACGCACGCGATTCGGATCGGCTCGCGAGGCAGGACTCGACGCCACGTCGAGGTGGTTCACCCTGATGGAAGGTACCAACTCGCGGGCTGTTCTACGTTGAGCAACGGCCGAGGCGCGGGTTGGATTTTATTTCAAATAAAAATTCGAGAGGGAAAACGATCGTTTTTCCGTCCCCGGCGACGATGATTCTCGCGATCGCGATAACGATTTCGCGGGTAACATCCTAATCGAGAGACCGAAGCGAGCTACCCCGAAAAAAAAACGGACGGGGGGGAGAGGGGGATTAATTTACGGCAACGACCTATACTTGTCGTGCATTGACTCGCCGCCCGCTCGCCTTGGGCCGCGCTCAGCTCGAGCCGTTGATATTCCGTTTGGCTGCGCTCCAGAAAAATATAGCTATAACAGTTTCCGATAATCGAGGTTACTGCACGCCATATGGACGCCGCGCCGCGCCGTACCGCGATTTCAATAGCCGAGGCTGGAACGCTTTTTAAGGGAATATACGAAAACGCAGCCCGGCCGCCCGCGCCGCAGCGGCGGGCGTCAATATTTGTCGACTGTCGCGGTCGTGACAGGTGACAAATATGTATTGCACTCGGGCGCATCCCCCGTGTGCATGCGTCTCGTTGATGTATTACCCGAGAGCTAGCCTGTACGCGACAGCTACGGCACACGAGATGCACTAAATCTCGCGTAGAAGGGGATTCTCGATGACTTTCCCCATTTTTGTTTTCATCGGTATTTTTGTTCCTTCCATATCTCTCGCGTTTTCTGCCTTAAAAGCAACGTATAAGCGCGTCGTGGATATACGTTCCACTAAAATCTCGGAAAATCGATAAATGGGTCACCATTGCACATTTAACATCCAAGGGGAAATTTCACGCTTCGCCGATAAGCGTTCCAGCCGCCGAACCAGGTGTTCTATATCGAGACCTCCGTCTAAGCTTAAAGGAGGCATTCTCCCTAAATTTTACGAAATAAAATCTCACACGCTGACCCTGATTTTATAAATAGTAAAAGTAGATTAATTCTACGTCGCATACGAATTGAAGGATAAACGTTAAACGTGAAACGTTAAAAGAGAACGGGAAGGCAGACGTGTCAGATCTATATGATAACTCCGATTGCCCCATATTTGTTCATCCTGAAGAAATGATGGACGAAGTCTCTCTCGCGAGCCGCATGCACGCGAATGTCTTCTCGAGCGTGAACTTTTCCTCGCATTAACTGTTTTCTCTCGCAGCTCAAACTTAATACGAAATCAAAGGAAGAGTCGCGCAATGCGTCATTAGCGATAGACTCGTAAATCTGTTGCGTATTTACCTTTTGATGTACGACCGCGTTGCAGAGGGCTCGAGAGAGTCAACGAATAAGCGACGTTCTATCGAATGAGCGACACGTTAAACGCGAGAAAGACCCGAGGACACATTTTGCAAATATTTACCCGCGGGGGGATGAAACCCCCCCGCTTCTCCGCACTCCCGTGTTTCACTTACTTCGTCCAGCTGAATCCAGGATCGCTCGTACGCAGGAATATGGCACCTCCTCCTCGGTTTCACGTCGCGTTTTCGTCGCGATATATCTTGCGCGAGGGATCGAAAGATAAGGAGCGAAGCTGAAGAACGAAGAGAGGAAGAGAGAGAGATAGAGAAAGAGAGGGAGACCGGGGGGAGAAAGAGAAAAAAGTAACGGGAGCACCGTAGAAGCGTCCAGCGTGTGAGGCGTTTTAGCGAAAAGCCGTTTCCGACGGGGTGGTGGTCCCGCGACTACTGAACCTCTTGGAGATTCTGGCGTACCCTGGTCGATAAAACCACCCCTCAGCCAGCCGCCCACCGGGCTAAAAGTATCGTCGCCCACCGACGACCATCTGGTGCGCGTTGCGCGGGCGCACGTGCATATACGTCGGTCCGTTTTGCGACGACGTGACCGACGTTTCCAAAACAAACCTTCCTATCCCCGAGCTCCGGCAGCCCCCCTGCTCCCTGTAACCCGCGGGAGAAAATCCCGATTCGCGAATCCGCGACTTGTGGATCCTTCCACGTTGCAATCGAAAACGTCATTCGTCCCAAATAACCGGGATCTTTTACTGTTAAATACATTAGTCGTATTATACTCAATATTCAATCACTTTAACCATTCCTATATAGGTCGTCACTGCTCCCACTCAAATTACGTCGTAAATTTGATCAAAACAATTCAATTAAACCAATAGAGTTAAAATAATATATTGTTTTGCGTTAAAACAATCGATATATATGGTATAATTAAAAATAACAAAATGTTATCTAACTCAAGGTATTGATTCAAATTTCATCCCTCAATATTTAACAGTGTAAATTCGTTGTGTCAAATTATACTCAATTTCAGTCAATTTTAACCATTCCTATAGCTCGTCGCTGTTCCTCTACTCAAATTATGTTGTTAATTTAATTAAAACAATGTTAACCCTCCGTCTATACGTGGGCCTACGGCGTGGGTCTGAGCCAAAATGGTATCTGTTGTACCTAACTGTAATACTTGCAAGCCCGCCAGAAAATGTTAAATAAACAATGTTTATCAAAATGACTATAAAATCGTCAACTATATAATGTAGACAGACGTTTTGTAAATTTTTTATAGATTTTTTAAATAGTTTAAAATAAAGAAAAATAGCGTCAAATGTGACAAATCCACGTATACACTCCCGAGGGTGCAAAAAAAAAACGTGTACAGACGAAGGGTTAATTTCACTAAACCAATGGAGTTAAAATAAAAAATTTCGACACACATGGTAATTAAAAATAACAAAATGTTATCCATAATTTACAATCAATTGACTTAAACTTCCTTTAATATTTAACAGTGGATCATGTTTCAAGCGATGGATCGTGGATCGCAGGGGGCAAGGATCGCGATATCGTGTCGACATCGCGTTTTATACCTGTGTTAAACAGCGCAAAGATTAGCGTAGAGATATACGCGACGCCGGTGATTCACAACGAGACCGCTTGCTGTTAGTGAAAACGTTTTATTAAACTCTGAAAGTTAAAATAGCGATAGAGTTGACTTCTGCTTACAGTTTTCTGTTTAATTGTAGAATCACATACATGGTTAATATCGCCCGTTTCTCGCCGCGCGGCGTGAACGACGGCCTGGCCGGATCTCGTTTGTTCGAAGCGATCGCTTCACGGCCGGATCGACGGGCGAGAAAACGAGATCGCGATCGCCGTCGATCGCGCCGAGATCACTCTCGCCGTTATTACGAGAGATTCGGGCAGAGTGTGGTGACGAAACTTTCATAATCGCCGTTCGGCCGCGCGAACGAAACGTTCATAGAGTTGCAGATATGGCTCTGCGCGTGTGTAACAGTATATAATTATAATTATAATTATAATTATATTATTTTATATATATAGGTATATATATATAGGAAGATAGAGTGTATACATATAATATTGTATAATAAGTTTATACAAAATCTGAAAGATCGTCTTCTGAAAAAAGCACTTTTTTTGCACCTCCGCCTTTGCGCGCACTCGCCTCTCTCATTCGTAATAATTGGTCGTCGATATAATGCGCGAATATATGCATACCACAAGTGTAGAAGAGACAGAGGGTTGTTGCTATCGTAGATTTACAAGAAGCCGCATACCTCTTCTCTAAGCTAGCGCTATTATTCTCTCGCGCGCGCGATGAGATGAGACAAATAAAAGGACGACGCATTTTTTATATACGCATATAAAAAATAATACAATTACGAATACATGTAAAAGAATGATGTATGATGTACACGACCCTTTGTATGTGTGTATTTATGTTTGTTCGTTTTGGAATTACTGTGTTGCAAGACTTCGAGCGACTTCGTTCCTCGACTCCCTTTGAAGAAGTCGGGGACAACTGCCGAAACGACGCTTGCCGTTTAGCAAAATTAGCAAAAAGGAAAAAAGAAAGCATATATTATATCCGCAGACGCGATGCAGGAAACAAGACGCAAGCGCGCTGGACCATCGCCGGATGATTTGTCTATCGCTTAATAGCACAATAATAATCTCGTTGTTCGTTCACTGACAACCGAACGATGAACTTTCGGGTTGGATTCGTTTTCCCTCGTGTCACGAATACGCACTTGACGTATCTCGTATATGTGTGAGCGCGCGCTTAAATTAATTAATAATCCCCGAGCAACGATAGTACCGTTTTTCTTTGTCTTCTTTTTGTCTTAGTACACATTCGCTACGATTGGCACCTATCATTCGGGCTCTTTAACGGAAAAGAGTAACGGAAACGTCAACGACCGGAACAACCAACAACGAGGACTTAGTATATGTATTTATGAATATACATATATATATATATATACGTATGCATATATGTATATATATTATATGTTTACGTGTGAGGAGAGAACTTTTCTAAATGAATAATATGAACCTGTGTTCTACGCGCTCTAAATATACAGCTACTTTCGAGATACGGTTATCGCCAGTTTGCACGAAGCGCTATGTACACGCTAACGTTCTTAAGTATTTCGTCTAATAGGGGACATGTTACACAACACGCGCCAACGTATAGGAAAAGAAAAGAGGAACGATACTTAATAATATGCTTAATAGTGCGATGAGCAATGCGTGGAAAGCGTGTTAGGTGACAGGCTTATGTCCATTTTTACTAATGCGGATTCACTTTTTAATCTCGGTATGACTTTTTGTCTTTTTTCTAATTCCTAAAACTGAAAAGAGATAAAAAGTAAGTTAAACCGAGATTTAAAGTTAATCTGCATTGGTAAAAATAAACATTAGTGATCGCGATCCGCAAATTGTTGGCGGAGTGATCTTTCTCTTTCTATATACTCCGTTTCCTTAAATAAACCCCGACAACGTTTATACGCCACGTGTCCCGCAAAATTTTTCGAAATGCGCCAACATTTTTTCTTTCTCTCTCGTATAATGCAAGCAGACTTTTGTTACGAGGGCAATTACAGCGATCTCATGAGCGTCGAGTGTAAATTAGGCAGTGTGCTGACCGATGAAAATTTTGTGTGTATGTGTGTGTGTAATTTGTAATAAAATAACTGTACCCTATATATATGATCCAAAATATGGTACATAGTCTAATGCTTTGTTATTTTTCATTTTTCAATAGTGAATTATTACATAAATTCAATAATTAAGTATTATCGATTTGAAACAATTTTTATTTAGCTCCACGAAAAGCTCTTTTGATAATAAGAACTACTTGTGTCCGATTTGAGACGGTTCTCTTGTAACGTTTTAACGTTTCTCTTGTAACAATTAATAAAATTTTAAATTCGAGCGCTGTTAATCAATAAGTCCAGTAGCCTATTTTTAAACTGTGCGTGAACGCGCATTTTACGTCAAAGTTGCTTGAAATTCTTATCTCGCATCCCCATAATTGTCGTTTTTTTCTATCTCGACGAAGTAAAAAAACTTTGATTGTTTCGAAAAGATATGAAAACTTTCTGAATCTTCAGTAAGCCACATTGTGGGTACAGTTATCTTATTATTTCACTGCGAAATAAAACGTGTGGAGGTCAGGTTGTCACGAAAGCTAAATGTTGCGTGGCTTTTACGCGACGTTATCTCGCGTAACTGATTAATGACTACCGCAAATTTTCGCAAGTTTACACTTTACAGCTCGTCTCACTATATTTACATCCGTCGCTAGACAGATGCGCTATTTTATTTTAGGACTGATTGCACCAACGACAGTTTTACTGCTCCATATAACGGCGGCTAATTAAACTCTCTATTTTCGGTTATATATTACAGATGGAATCTGGATATCTAAAGACGGGGCCTCTAACATCCAGCTAGAGATAGTCAACTAAAATCGCAACGCGTTAGTGCAACAGACCGACCGCTAATGCTAGATTTATATATAATGCGTATATATATCGTACTCGTGTGTGCGTGCGTGTTTGCCATATGCGTATGTATATAATGTGCATATCTATGATATTCTCGTCTACTTCTGACATTACTGATGACTAAATGACTGCCAGTGAATGAGAGAACATAGGAAGTGCAATGCGATCGCGAGATCCCGCGATATCTCGCTGCGCGTGGACATCGGGATCGTCCTAATATTGTACGCCAGTTTTGTAAAACATTCTCGTAATTGTTAGTACAACAGCGTTTTCTTTTTTTTTTTTTTAATTTCAAACGCGATAACTTTAAGTGGACCCCAATAGACGAACGTGTATCCGCGCGCCGAGAATTATTCCCGTGTGAGAAACGTACGTTTAATAAATATAATGCATCGAACCCTGATCACGTCCCGTGTGAAATCGGCGTGACAAATAATCGCGCGTAAGAGGAGCGGGCGATCGGCACCGGCGATACCGATTCCCGCGTCTTCGGATGAATTTTTGTACCGAGTGTCGAACGAACACAAACGATCTGGATCAATTCGACGATCGAACGAGGCTTTCTCCGCGCGCAGGCACATACTCTCATTAAATGTCTCGCTTATAGGTATAAATATATATCGAGTGTAAAAAGACAATGTACATGTACTCTTTGTTTTTATGCAAAAGACACGCGCCTTCCTGTGTCGCGCGCTTCGTGGACGCGCGAATCTGCGAAGATCGTTAGGTAACAGCCGTGACTATTTCGTTCCCGATATTCGCTAAGACCTTTCTGGAAGAAGTAAACATCGAGGTTTTTGCTAATTAGTGCGCGAGGGTGCTGGAAAAACCTTATCGCTAATTAAGTTATTAATGTATCGACATCGACGTGTTTCCTTCTCTACGATCGCGCCTCCCTCTATGTCATTTCCGTTATCCCCCCCCCTCGCCCCCTTTCGACTATCCTCCCTCTAAATCGAATTCTATATAAATTGTGTTATCTCTACGAGGTTCTTCGTCGGGAATATCGAAGATAAAGCGACGCGCGTACGAGATCAATCGCGTAGATTCCCACAACGTTTTCTCCCATACACCGATTTCCCGCGCGTATTTTTCCGAGTGAAATAAATACGACTTGTATATAGAGTGGTGCGTTATCGGCAATAAAACCCGGAAAGGGGTACTCTATACATGAAAAGGATACATAAAGAACACAAAATCATATCATATATGAAGCTTCTGTTTTCTGAAGAAAATAAAACTGAAAGATAAGAAAGTCAATAACGTCCGTTTGTAAGTTAACTTCCGATTCAACGCAGCTAATTCAAGCGTGAATATAAATATATTTGAGAGAATAACATTTTTCTATATTTTTTATCAATTTTAAGCAAGATTATTAAATTATTTCATTCAGTAGCGTTGAATAATTTGTGTCGAAAGTTGTTCGAGTTTCGAAGTGACAAGAGATAGTAATTATCTGATCAACAGGAATCTTTTATGGAAGTTTTTTTTTACGTTTTTCAACTCTCTCTATCGTTTCTTTTTACAAAATTTTTATAAAATTGCCACTCCGTTTCGGTTTCTCGGCCAGTAACGAACCACTCTGTACCAATCGGTAGATTGAACGTCTCTTCTACGAAATTTCTCTACTAGAAGTCTTGTGATAAAAGAATGTCGTTAGATATATCGAATCCTCGGTACATCAGGTAGAAAAGTGCACTTGCCTCGGCATATACATTTGCAACGTAAATTAGTTATGTTGTTATATATTATATGTATATAGATACCAATGTACGTAACTAGGATTTCGCCGATATTTCGCCAAAACCTGATTAGCAGTTTTCCTTGTTACAAAAAGAATGTCAAAAGTCAAAATCTCATAGACTCGTCCCGATAATATAAACCTCTCGCTCTATACCTCCGATAAAGAAAATGTTGTTTCTGTTTTTCTTACGAGAAGAAACATATCCCGCGGATCTCTTTCTCTCTTTCCCTCTCTCTCTCTCTCTCTTTTTGTTTTTTTAGTCGCGATAGAAAACCACTCTGTACTCTCATATCTATACACATTGGCATATGTACAGGATATATACAGGATATCCTAGACGTCGGCGCTTTCTCTCGGGGGCTAAATAATCGCTATCTATATACGATCGTTCGTTCTTGTCATTAATAATTTATCGCACCTATCCTCCTATCTCGACGTCAAGCCGATTATCATCTCTCTTACGTTTAACAGTTTCACCCCCATTCGCGGAGAATGCGCCGCGTTCTGGGAAATTCCGCATATACTTCAAGATGTTACGAAAGAATGGCGATGTTCTCCCTTCCGAAGAAATTCAACCCAGCCTCAACGTCCCTGCCTTCCCCCTTTGTCTCTCGCTCGAGAGTGACTCTCTTATCGGATTCGACTTTCGCGCGAACGAGATTTCTAAACCCCCCCCCCCCCCCATTTCTCCATTCCGCCCTATTCTCTTTTCGTTCGTTTGTATTTTAGGCCTCTTCGGAATGCGAGCCCTGAGAACTACGTTTCTTCTTGTGGTTGTTGTGATGATAATGCTGATGATGGTGATGGAACTCCCGATGCTGCTGCACGAGAGCATCGGTCTCCGGCTGGCTCTGATGGCCCACGAGAAGGTCCAGGGTGCCCTTAGGTACGGCGGGTGCCTGCTCGCTCACCGGCGGTGGAATCGGCGTCGCAACCGGCGACTCGGCCGGAAGCGGCATGCAGTGTAACACGTAACATCTCACGCCCGCCAGGATGAAGCCTGAAAACAATAACGACGACAATTAGAAGCGTATATATCGTTGGTCGACCCGTCGAGATCCCACCAAGCGCAAACGAATCGAGTGCTGACGAGCACGCGCGCGTCACCGATGCGCCGATCGATCGAGCGGCGCTTATAATCCGTTATTTCAGTTATTTGACGTCCCACAATCGGTTATTAACGAGCGTCTCGATAAGCTTTCTAAAGGAGAAATCAATTCACTGGTCGAAAAATCTGCGTTTATTTAAGAGCCTCCTGCTCTCCCCATAAACAAACATATTTCGCTTAATCGAAATCGATTTAATCTCGATTTATTATTACAGGCCTGCGCGCGTAAATAAATAAACAATTTAGTAAGTTTGTTCACGAAACAAGCAATGTTTGTACGGCTCGGGAGAATCAACGCGACGTTTAATTCCCTCGCCGATACACGACGATGGAAAACGGCGTTTGTAACGCCGTTAAGCCTTTTCGTTCCGTAAGAGCGTGCCTTATGGAGCACGACGTCAAGATAGAAGCTAAAGATAAAAGAAGGTTTTTTTTCCATATATAAGAAGACTCACCCATTATAATTAGGGCAGCGCCTGCTATGAGTAACGCCAACCTGTGGTTGGTGGTCGTTGCACCCGGGACGAGTTGGACGAGACCGACCACGAGCACCACCGCGCCCAACAACAGGCACACCACCACGGCGTGTAGCCCGGATATCTGCGGGCAACGATCTTCGTTTCCTTTCGACATCGACGCTTACTCTCGCCGCCGTTTCCGGCCCTTACATCATACACATATCTATATATACTCTACTCTCGGAAAACTAATATCAAAACCGAGCACGTAGCGGAAAGCACTTTCCACCCCGCGCATCTTGACCTCCATACATGCAGCGACGTCCACACATATCATGGACAGTAATATATGTAAAGATTTAAATTGAGACCCTTGATTAACACGTATCGCAAGCTAATGATGATTTTTAAAACAAAGTTACAATATTAAATCTTATTGTCATTGTAAAAAAGAAAAAAACCGATATGAAACTGATTCTGTAAGCTCCTCTTATTGTACATGTAAATTAAGAAACTCTAATTGTTAAATTCATAGTCAAATTATATTCAATTTGATTGTGAGTCATTTCTAACTATTTTCATAGGTCGCCACTGCTCCTACTCAACTTGTCGTTGACTTAACTCAAGCACTCAAGTTAAAATAATATTGTTTTGCTTTAAAATAATAAATTTCGGCATACATGATAGTTAAGAATAACAAAATGTTATCTAACTCTCAAGGTATTAGCTTAAATTTCGTTCTCCAATATTTAACAATGTAATTGTTAAACGTCAAGCACATATAGTTCCTTGAACGGTGACTTTATCTATGTCGAACGGCGTATATTGTTACAATTAACTGTTACCTTGCCACATAAATAGAGCTCGGGCAAGGGGTCCAGATTGTGCGGACTAGGGGTGGGCGGCGAGCCCGTAAGGGGTGGCAACCACTGCCCTCCCAAATAGAGCTGACTCGGCCGCTTCAGCCTTTTTTCTTGCCTCCTACGCTCGTGGCGGACGGCCACCGCTGGCATAGCACCAATCATCCTGATCAAACAAAAAGCCAACACTCTTTATGTATAACCGTTCTCGCGGGGAAGGAAATATCCGAGGAAATATCGTGGCAATTACATTATCGAGTTCCGTAAACATGACTTACCGGAATTAACTGACAGGACGCTGTATCTAATAGATACTGTCTATTAACGAAGTAACGTTTTAATCGAATTTAATATCGGTTTTTCGGTTATTACTAAAATTGCACACGCGAATACATTTATTAATTTATCTATTTCGTACCTATTATTTAAGATCTCTCTCTCTCTCTCTCTCTCTCTCTCTCTTTCTCTTTCTCGTGAACGGAATGGCTTAAAGAAGATATTTGCGCATTTCATCCTTTCGAGATAATTTAATTCGCGCAAGGTAGAAACACGTATGCGGTATTCAATAAGTGCTAGTAATGCGAATAAAAATATAAGATAAGAATACCTTGACGTATCTTTCTGCTTCAGAAAAATTATTCCAACAAGATCTGCAAATAATTCGACATCGAATTATTCCTTAAACAGCGAAATTTAGAGACACTACAAATTTACGTTTCATCTCTCTTTCGCGAGAACGTGGTCTGGAGAAATAATCAAATTAATCTCACTCTGTTACTAATTTTTGCCAATTTCATCGTTGTCTCGGAACTATTTCGAGAACACAGTTATTGCGCGAATCACCAAAATATCCCCGAACCTCGCTATCGGCAGCGTCGAGTTATTTCTTGCGCGCCGACGGCGAGGTTTTCAATAACAAAAAAAAAAGAACAACAACACACACAACAAGCGTTATGAGAATAAACGCTTTTTGGTGGCGTCCTGCAGCCTGACACCGGTTACTTTTGCGCCAAACGCGCTATGAACTTTGGTGACCCCGGTTGACCTCGGGCCGGTCGATACGTCATTGCATCCGCCCTCCGGCCCGCAGTCGATGCAGCGAGGTTCCAGGAGGCCGTTCCGGGTAGAAAAAGAAAGAACAAGAACAACGACTATTCAAGTTACGAAGTCTCGACGACGACGACGGCTCTGCTGACTCTGCAGCGTTCCGCTTAACGAGACGAAACGGCAACTTCGACGCGCGTCCTCGCCCGGGGTAAAACTAATCGGCGAGATTCTTTCTCCACCCCGATTCGGAAACATCAATATGCACGAGACAATTCGAACGTACGACTGGGGGTCCGGAGCGAATAAAACCTCATGATAAATGGATAGAGTTATACGGTTGATAATGAATACGTAATTCGATTCGTCGGATGGAATGGCGGGGAGATTTTCTGTAACGTAGAAGAACAATCATTCGTTAAAAATGGAGCGTTTCATAAATATTTATTCTCGAAAAATTCGTGCATCAAGTTGTATATAAGTGGTACAATAGAGAAATCGCAATAAGAAAGGTTTTTTTTTAAACTTCTATGGTAAAATTAACTACTGTAATAGTCGCAAAAAACAGCAGCGATGTAATAATAATAATTTTTACAATAAGTATAGTAATTACAACAACGGTTTTCCCTCTGTCGTATAACGACTCGACGGTCTTCGTGGCTTGGCTTCCTCCTTTCCGCGGGGCGGACCGAACGAACGGGGATGGGAGATAGCGGCATCGATTCGGTAACGAGATATACGATATAAACCGTATCCCTCCTGTCCGTCCCCCTATAATTCCAATCCCTTTCCGAGCAAATGTATTCTCGCGCGTCGTAGTAAATCTTGCGATAAATATAGTAATATCGCTAAATCGCTCCGCAAACAGATATACGCCCGTCGTTTTTCGCCTTACACCGTAACACCACCGTATACACCGCGTTTTCCGTTCGCGTGTCAATTACCATCGTGTCGATTGAACGTTCAACGTCAAAACGCGAATGAATAGAAGCGGAATGTCGTTTTCTTCCTTCGATCCGCTCTCTCCACAATTCGTATATTCAAGTTTTCGGCAGGAGTTTAGAGGTGCGGGGAAAGGATTCGTCGAGATATATCTAGGAACAGGAAATTTGTTCGCCAAGTGAGCATTTCGGTTTTCGTTTCGTGCTATTGTATAAGCAACGGCAATACTTTCATCGTCGGAACTCCCGTTTCCGATATCGTCCACGTTCCTCTCGCGGAAGCGGGGAAACGGCGGTCCTTCGTTATCCTTAGCTACGGCTAATCGGCAGGATCATTCGCGGCGTCGTTTAAAGACGCTCCGAGAGAGTCGCTTTGCAAAACTGATAATCAACGCGACGGCAATTAAAATCCATTTACGTTTACACGCACGGTGTCCCATTCTCAATTCGAAGTTTTTTCCCCTGCAGAAATGTCGGAGCGATAATTCTCGAGTTATTTTTAGTTATAATTAGCGACCGAAAAAAAAAGAAAGATTCTCTTCAGCAAGTCCAAAGTTCAGAAAGCGAAATTTAATTTACGAGAAAGAGAGGGTTACATTTTTAACTTGGAGGAAGTTTAATAGAATCCTAAATCGATACGCTTAGGTGCGTAGAACGCTGAAGATTGAAAAGCTAAGTGATCTTTTGCGACACTTTTCGAGAAAATGTCGAGGAGAGGTCGGTTCCTTCGACCAATCGAGGAATTCGTCGTTGAAAAATAACACGCGGCACACAAGTGGGACACCCTGTGCAAGTCAAGACCTATAGCTCTAAAAGTGTTTCTCTCTAAAAAAAACTCTGATAAGTATGCGGACGCGAAACGAACACGGCAATCAGATAATTCTATAGGTGGACTTGTCTTTTCCAAAGATGACCTCCCCTACGTGTCGAAATCGATACACGGCTTATGCACTTGTTTAAATATTAAAAGTTTTGCAACCGATAAGCACGCGCGCGACGCTATATACGTAGAGTAATAAATTGTACCACTTATTTTGAGGACGTTCGTGTATCTGTATCGTTCAAGCGGGACGTAACCGCCTGGAGAAGCAGACGTTCCTCCAGGCGGATAGGTTCCGCTTGACAGGGAGATTCGTGTGCTCTGTAAATCTATCATGGTAAACAACGAAATTACAATCGAGATAGTACACGAGGAAATATAGTCTTTAGTTTTCAAGAAGACGTATATACTCTTAGACTTTAATTTTGAGAGAGAGACTTACACGCTATATATATATATACGTATATATGTATGTATTTGTATGTATATTGTAAGATTAGTTCGCAATTTCAGCCTTTTAGTCGAGAAAAAACGAACGGACGCGGAGAACCCAGGGACCGAAAACGAAAAGCTATATACTTTTCCGACGTAACGGAGAAAGCACACGCGATCACAGAGATTCGGGGGGTAAACAATTTAATCAATCATCTATACATTCGCACGCGCGTCCAGTCGTTCGCACACAGGTACGAGGGGTGTGTGTGTAGGGGAGGGTAAAGAAGGGGACGAGGAATCAGACGGGTGCTCGTACTCGAGGCGAGATTATCGCCAAAGGAATACCGGAGTGCACATTACCAAAGGCACTTTTGCACGACGTTTAACTCGGAGCCGATTTAAGGGCGAATCCTGGGACTCGGGACACCGAGAGCGATCTGGTCTGATCTGAGAACACGGTCTCTCATCCGGATTCGATCTCCCTCTTCCAGCGAGTCTTTTTTCCATGACTCTTGATGGAGCAATTTCCCAATTTGCCCCAATTTATCCCAATTTGCTCCCAATGTTAATTACGCGCCCCAACCGGCCCCGATTTAATCGTAATGAATTTCGCCCTTTCTATTCGCGCCTGTCACCCCCTCACGGTCTGTCTATATATCTATTTCTCTCTATATATCCCTTTCGCCACAATCTTCCACGCATGTGCTCTCTCTCTCTCTCTCTCTCTCTCTCTCTCTCTCTCTCTCTTTCTTGCATTCTTAAATTTGCAAAAGGCGTAAAAAATTGTAATTACGTACAATTAAATACACAGTGGAAACGTTCCGTTAATTAATAAATAATCGGAGCGCCACGCGATGGCGATAAAAACAGCACGCATTGCATAATTACGCGGCATGCATGCATGGGTCGTATATAGTGATATACTGTAATGTATATACGGAGCACACACCCACACACGCGCGCACAATACCGCTCGAAAGAAGCTTTTAGCTTTTCAATAAATTCATCTGACATGTAAGACGTGTATAAGACGATTAACTTCTCTTCTTAGGATCACAGAACAGTAGCGCCCGAGCATAACGATATTTCATTTTGAAGAGAGATTTCCGGGAACGCGAACGAATAGCGACCGCGGCGCGGTTCTCCATCGTGCGATTATTGCCTTCGCCAATTCAAGTCGAGTGGTATGGATTCACACACGTAACACGCGCGCACACACGCGGACACATCCCTAAGAGAGAATTGCGCGCGCGCGACCTCGTTCACCGCCCCCGGCGGATCTCGCCGACTAAAGCTAGTACGATGTGTTTTACGTGTAAATAAATGCTTAATATATTATAAAAAGGAATATAGCACATTACAAATTATCGGCTAGCTTAACAATACTGCTGCGCCAACAGTCGCTGGACGAATAGTTGCACGTCTTCCTGGCGTACACGCTGAAATTCGCCGTGCATATGCGCGTATATGCACGTCAATCGTATTTTTTCGAAGTTAGAGAGAGTATAGTCCTATATATATTAGCGCTAAGATATATCGAAATCAAATTTCGGAATGTCGTCGTACGCTATTCTTCCTCTAGAGACCTTATTTTCGATTCGCATCGCACGTTAATGCATAAACTCTTTCAGCCTCCGACGTACAGCTGTATGCGCGATATTAAATGTAACGATATATGAGTAAATAATTTTCTCCATCTTTTTAATGAAATCAACCGCTTCGAACGGTGTTCAATTAATGATTAAAGTAAAGAAATATACTCTGATTGCATTTTTATGAAGAATAAATGTAATTTAAATCGACATGTATATCTCTCTTTAAATGTCTCGATATTCAGAAACTAGGGAATGAGAGAATCGAAACAAAGCAAGTAAAAAGTGCATAGAGGATTACCGTAATACACGCCGTCGCTTGTATGCCTAATAGATTTTCCTTTTAAGTAGAAACGATTATTTTTAATCGGGTTATTTATCGAGTACTTCCCAATATATATATATATATATATAGAATAACACCAAAGTCGTTTCGCAAAGTTGTGCCTCATTCTACGATATAATCTTCACGGCTAGTCTTCTTGGTCCTTGAATTCGATTCTTCGGTTCCCTACCTTGTCAAACGTGTTGTACGAATGTACGTTTAGTGTTTGTGATTATGTGTGTATGATTATCGAAAGTTTCGCTTCTCAAGCTTCCCTCGAGTTTCCCCCCCTCGGAAGAAACGACCGGATATCGCGACGCGCGTTTCGGCTCGCAAATACCGAGGATCGTCGCGGAAAAGTCGCTGCTTGATTTGCGCGGAAATTTCGTCTTTCCGAAGTCCGTGCTGGTTTAGACTATCTTGCAGCTTCGCCTCGCTTCGCTCTTCTTCGTGTTGCGTTTCCTCGCAATTTCGTTGCCCGTTGTACGATCCAGGGGACACGGGAATGTATACGTCGACAATGGAAATTCACTCCCAAGAATCGGTCGGAAGACGCCATAGATAAAATGGCTGGATGAAAAAGCGGGCTTTGTCGCACCGTCGCGTTATCCGCTTGTCGCGTCGCTCCCTTTCATCTCTCTCGAGCCTATATCGTCTAGATCTTGGAGACGTAAGGCCGGTGAACCTGCTGCGGGTTCCCGTTCTGCTTCGAGTATCGCGCGTTCTGCAGCAGCTCCCGGGTCTCGCTGGGCGAGCCCGGGCTGAGGCTGTTGGTGGTCGAGGTTTCGACGCGGTCGCTGATAATCTCCTCCTCGGTGATCTGCTCGAGATAGAGCGCCGATTGGACCGCCGACTGATTGTCACCGTTGATCGCGGCCTGCGGCGTATACGCCGGCGGCGGGCTCCGTCGCGGCGAGCCGCCGCTTCCGTTCACCTTGTCGTCGTCCTTAATCTCGAGGGAGGTGTCCGACGACTCCTGCTTCATCTGCTTCGCCCGTCTGCCGTGGCGGGTGGTCAGCCCACCGGTCTCCACGTCTCGCTCCAATCGGTGGCCGGATCGCGATCTGGTGAGCTGCCGTTGAACGTACTCCTCGAGATCGTCCTCCTCCTTCTTGGCGATGACGCGATTCAGGACGATGAGAAAGACGCCGACGATGATCGCGAACAGGCCGACGGCGACGAGCTCGTTCCACCAGCCGCCGGATGACTTGGTGCCCCAGTGAGCGAGGTCGCCCGGCAGCAGACCGCTCACCAACAGAAAACCCCCCAGCACCAGGAACACCACGCCGATGTGCAGCATCCCGATCGAGGTGACCACCTTCGTGTCCAGCATAGCCTGGCCGGACGCACGCCCGCCGGCATGCGCGCTCTTGTGATGCCTGCCATGGTGGTCCAGCGATCCGGTCGAGGCCCTAGGCGACGTCAGGCCGCTTTCGCCCGATTGCGCGCTATAACGACGTTCGCGCGCGCGACGCTGCTCGTCCCGGCGCATTCGCTGACGCTTGATGGCCAGCGCCGAGTGTAATCCAACCGCGTGCATCCTGCAACACCGCAAAGACAACCCTTTGGCTCAGTCAATCCCGCTAGTCAGTCTCTCCCCCGCGGCGAATTTCAACCCCCGTTTCGCGTCGTCGCGAGATCGTTTCTTTCGCTTTCTTTCTTCTTTTTCTCTCCGACAATTCGTTATCAACGAGAAGCACACGTCACCCCGGCCGGCTCGGCCGGTGGCGCGGGACGATCTCGCGACGTCGCGATCTAATCGATCGAAAAAGCCAAGAGGGAAAGAAAAATGCCAGAATCAGTCCCATCGTGAAATTACGTTATTGTGAAGCACGCGAGGTGTCGATAAAGCGGTCTACGTGCCTGCTCGCTCGCGAGCAATGTGGCCGAACAACTGAATACGCGCAATCGCGTATATACATATACTACGGCAATTAATCAATCAATCGACACCACTACTTCGCAGCCAACGCGAGCGAAGGAATAATCGCGCTGGGGGGGACTTGAAGATGCGTTTCTAATTGCCTCTAATTGCATTCTCATTTAGCTCCCGACATTTAGCCCCCTCCCGCACCTCCCTCCGCCCTCCCCCCGCGTACCGCTCTGGCAAACTCGTCTCAGCACTGACTAATTGGCTACCTCTAAATTCATCTAAATGCCTACAGGATCTATTTACAGGGTTTTACAGGATGCACTGCGATGGAATCACGCGTGTCAAAGCGATCGGCGATGGCTTGTGGACGCGCGCGCGCGCGCATTTTCGGTCTTCTGCGAAATAATATCTTCGACTCTCGTCGACGCGCGTATCTCGTCTCTTTAAGGGCTGCCGACCGGCCCTCCTCTCGTTTTGCGTTATCCGCCCTCTCCGTTCGGTCGGAAAGAGCCGTTCGTATGTATATCGCAAGCTCGTCAATATATACATATATCCAATGATACGTGATATGAGCTTGTAAGCAAATAGCTCGCCGTTTCTTCTACCTTTCTACCTTTCGTTAGATATTTCATAACTACTTCTCTCCGTGTTCCCTATATCCTTTCGTTTTTCCAGGTTGTCGGCGAGAGTTAAGCCCTCCTATTTTAACGAACTATTTTGAGAAAGAATGGTTTTGTCGCCACCAGAGACGTAGCTGCGTACATAATTCATATGCGAAACGAACCATTCAGCGGAGAAAAAGCAATTTTCTAGTTGTTCCTATTTCAAGAACTAAGGAAGTGTAGGATAATAGTTTGATAGATCGTCGCATCGAAGCCACGGATATTCGCGCGATCCATAAAATGAGGCACTCCGTTTAATGAAGCAAACGGAGGTAACTTTGCAAAATTATGTTCCTTCCCTGCTGTGCACATGTCCTTAAAAAAAATATTTAAAAAAAAGACGTATTTTTTTTACCTGACGCGATACGACTCGGTCACTTTCTCGTTCCCCTTCGAGTTTTCACGATCACCGGCAAAAGTACCAACGGCGGAAAGTCGAGCGTTTCTCGCGGGATTCAGCGGCGAAAAGCGAAAAAGTCGACGAGAAGGAGACGCGTATATACGTGATCGGCATCCAGACGACGGAAAACTTTTACGTCGCACGGGACAAAACTTGGCACCGTGTCGAAGGGTACTCGGAGTCGATCCGAGGGTACTTCATACGTTCGATACTTCGAGCTGCATTTCGGTGGTGTTACTTCGCTCTTTTTTTTTTTATTTTCTCCTCCTCCGAGCCGCTCCCTCACGCGTAAAAATGCACGCGAGAGGCATCGCGAAATGCCTACACGTCTCATGTCGTATGCGTTGCTTTATTTATACGCGTAATGAGACACACGTTCCTCGTAAAAGGGCATGTCGCGCGGTAATCGGATACTCTTTGTGGGACGCGATGCCCCCCCGCTGTGCCCTTTGGCACCGACATCCGGCTCGCAAGACTGAGGATACGAGGCGGGAAGGAATCATCGGGATAAAAGCGGTCTTTCCGGCCGAGAAGCCGAGAAGCCCCCCCGTTATTTCGCGTCGCTTTACGAGACGCTCGTTCGCCGTTTCGTTGTCGGCGAAATCCAACTCCTCGTCTTCAGCCTCTTTCGCGACGCGCGCGGCAACTTTAGACGCAGCTCCCGTTTATTGAAACGAGGGATCGATATCGACGAGGAGCGGTGGGATCGATGCGGGGTCGGGCCGCGGGATCCCGCGTCCCCTCGTGTATCACGGGGAAAAATCTCAAGGATGACTCCGCGGATGCTCCTTCGTTTTACGATCACAATGCGCGGCGCCGCGAAAGCGTTTCCTGCCCCACGATCAATAAAACCATCCCCCACACCCCTTGCAGAACGCAAACGCGAAGTACACACGAGGACACGAGATAGTGGCGGTGTGCACTATGTACACCGTGTGAGCCACGCATGTGTGCTGCGAGAAAGCCCACGCCACGAGAAACAACGCTTCGCAACCCTACCTGTCCTACCTCACCCCTCTCTCCGTCACCCGCTTCAGAAAAAAAGGTGAAAATTAAGGCGAGGTTAATTTCCCGCGACGAATCGACCGGGTTTTTTTTGGGCGACACGCAAAAGTGGGATGGAGGAACGTCGCAGGAGAAAAGAATAGCGAAGAAGGAGGAGCAGAAGGAGGAGGAGGAGGAGGAAAGGAGAGAAAATGTATTTATCGTTCCGCAAGAAAGGCTGACGGAACAACGAGAGTCGCGCAAAGTGCTGGACAAATATATTGATACAATGTTAAGAGTAAAGTAAACCGAGGGGGAAGGGGGACTCTGGCCGACGGGGCGCCAGTTAAGTAGCGAATTAAGCACCCTGCACTCTCGAATTGTCGCGGAAAGTTTCGCGGGAACGAGGTAGTGCCCCCCGCGCGTATCTGATTCACAGCCACGCAGATGAAACCGGAATATTACATTAATGGGAAGGCGACACTTTTCCCCATCGATCCCTCGGAGACCCTCGCGTAAAAACGCTTCATGACTAACACTCCCCGGCGTTCTAATTACGCACGCTTTCGCATCGCGTTCGCCATCCATTAGCGCCCCTCGTCTAACGTTTCGCAATTTCGTAACTCTTTCGAGGGAAAGAGGTAAAATCGTGTGTGAGAGAGAGAGAAAGAAAGAAAAAAAGAGAGAGAGAGAGAGAGAGAGAGGGAGAGAGAGAGAGAGAGAGAGAGAGAGAGAGAGAGAGAGACATGTCAACTGGTCGTTTTCCTTTTTTCATCACGCGACTCAACGCTGATGACGGCTCGCCCATTTCGGGGCCTGCCATTTCAGGCGAAATTATCGCGGACGCCCATATTTCGCCCGTCCCGCTTTTATTGTCGTCGCGTCTGGCGCCCCGCCAAACGCGCGGAGCAGTTGGCTTGGCTGCCGTTTTGCGAGCGAGCCGCGGTCTAGACTTGTCGAAACTCGGCGGGATTTATAACGCAAACATTAGGCACGCGAGACAGCAAGCACGCGGAGAACGCGTTCCCGTTTGTTTGTTTCGTTTACATCCGCAGGACCGCGATTTATAATTCGCGAGCCAGCGGGTCGCGCGTCCTTGCCAAAACGGATAAACGACTCTCGAACGTGACGCATATTCGCGGAACGCGTATCCGGGACGCCGAGACGTCGGGGCAAGGATGATTCGACGTACCCCTCGTTCGATCGCGAATAAACGTCGCTGGAGTCACGCGCTTCGCCACGCACAACAACAGCCCATTCCGCAGTCATCGACCGATACGTGTTTACGTTTCGCGCAAAAAGTCGCGCGCTCATCGGAAAATCCGCCGGGCTCTTTCAACCCACCCGCGGGGTTATTTTTCTTGGCAAAATAAAAAAAAACAGGCTGTCTGCCAAGACCAGAAGACCGGCCGCTTCCTCCTCCAACGTGAAAAAGGGGAGAGACCGCGCGTCTCTCCGATAACGATGCGAAAATAAATGTCCGAGATCCACGACGAGAACGAATAATTCTAACATTTAAAGACATCTTTAAGACGTCTTTATGACACGATGATGTAAAAGATTTTGGATATGGGGGGAAGGAGGGAGGGGGAGGGCCGCGCAAAGTCGGTCATCGGATCATTTCCGTTCCTACGGTGTCGAACAGGTAACCTGTTGCCAGACACGAACACATCTACGTGTAATAATGCCGGGCGAAACGGTGTGCGGCCGTCCGCGCGCGATCGATGATAAAACTGTACGAGCTCAACGAGCTGCTGCTGCTGCTGCAGGCTGCTGTTGCTGGTGTTGCTGCTGAGCTGCTCGGCAGAGCGGAACCGCTAAATGACGATTAGGGGGCTCGTCGGACGCGAATTCGCGCGGAAAATTTTCCTCAAACGGCGAAACGGACGGCGGACGTCGGGCTCGCGTTCAGGGGAGGGGGGGGGGGGAGAGAGGAAGACCCCCGTCGCAGCACACCGCTATAAATATCGCGTAACGCGGGGGAAGAAAAGAAAAAGGGGAGAACGGATGGGGAAGGTCGGACGACGGTGGATGGAGCGCGAAAAAGAGAATTGCGTATGCCGCTGAAACGCGGCCGCGTCTACGCCATAAGGGGATTAAAATACCGCCGCGGCCGCGGCCGCGGCGCCCACCGCGTGCGCGAATCGTCCCGCCCGATTCCATCATCCTCTCCGCATCTCTCGGAATAGACTTTTCGCGAGATGGACGTGACGCGCGAGAGCGATTCGCGAAATTTATGTGACGCGCGCGCGGTTCTCCTGTATGTTTTGGGAACGGAATGGGACCGCGTATACCCTCGACCGACGCGAGCGTTTATTTATTTTGCGCGCTTGCTTTCAGCCCCGTCGATCGCGAGGGAGAGAAGAAGGACGCGCGTGACGCGTCTCTCCTCGCGCGTACGCGCGCGCTGCGCCTTTCGCAGCGAAATTGAATAATGAAAATAAAGAGAGAGAGAGAGAGAGAGAGAAAAAAAAAGAAAAGAAGCTTCGGCGAGAGAGAAGTCTCTGCGAGATCGAAGCGAGTTGCGGAAAAGCGAAGTTTACCTGACTGTCGGCGGAGCTCTGGCTCTCCTCCTGCGAAGAAAAACGGGCGAGTCCGTCCGCGCCGCCGATGACGCCTCACGCCATGAAACTTCCCTCCCGATGGCGAAGCGTCCCTCCCCCTTGAATTAGAAAATCGCTGCGGGACTGCCGCTCCGCTTCTTCGCCTCCTCCCCCGCCGCCGTTTTTCCTTCTTTCCCTTCCGCGCGAGAAGGCCCTCGCGGAAATCGTTACATCTTCCACGGGGAACCGCGCTCTTCCCTCAACGTCGCCAGGGTTGTCGGCAACGCGCGGCGACTACCCTCGCGCTCTCCCGTTCCGTTTCCTTCTACCCTTCGCGTCGTCGCCACCCTTCTCTCTGCGAGGTATGAATTTTCGCGCGCGCACCCGCCGTTGCCGCCGCGAGAGACCGTGGACGAGTGAAGCGGGCCTCCAATGTTGTACTAAATACGAGCGTGCGAGCCGGAGGACACGCCTCTGCCCGGTATGGCGCAGACTCGGGTTCCGCGCTCTGCTCTGCTCTGCGGAACGGCGAACGGAAACACCCGCAGGGGGCCCTCGACTCCGCCGAGAATACTCGATACGCGCTGATGCGCGCAAGTCATCCGCGCTCGGCTCTAGACGTAATCCTCCGAAGTGTGTCATCATGAAGCGGGATCGCGGATACTCGTAATGAGGACAAACGGCCGGAGCGATCGAGAGATTTTTCTCCCTTTAAATCGCAACGGCCGAATAACGATAGACGGTCTGCGAGAAGGTGGACTGGATACCTCGTACGTGACAATTCAAACGACGCGGCGCGGGGGATGACGCAAGGGAGGCAGCAATTCGTACAGCACCACGATTCAACATAAAATGAGCAGCATTCTTTATTAGAGAGAGGATTATCCTCATAATTAATCTCCCGACAATAAAATAAATTTATCGTCTGTATATTTTGCTTTGGCGTAATAAATCTTCATTTTGGCTTCAATAAATCGAAAATAGGAAGCGATATATATATTGGATATAAACGTATCACAGATAAGTGTCATGTATCAGTCAAGAGAAATGCGATAGTAAAGTAAAATGTACCAATGCCGGGACGCTCAAGACCTATGTCCGAACACCTTTATCATTTTAGTTTTTAAATAAGTATAACGAGTTAAAATCAGTAAAAACATAATGCGAGAAAAATATTTTTATCTTGGATTCTCTTTGATTTTAATTCGCGTTATAGACTTATTTAAGGATTAAAACGATAAAAATGTCCAGACATAGGTACGTGTCCAGGGATTGGTACCTTGATATAAAATAAATTGATCAGAAGAACTAGGCACTAGTGCGCTTCTTGAAGGCAGGAGTAGCTAACGCGAGCCGCTTCAAATGATATAATCCGTCATACTCCGCGCGTGTACATTCCGCTTTCTCGCAGTGAAATTGACGGTGTCGCTTAATCAACGTCGTAAGGCACTCTGTCTCGTCATCGCCACGGCTTCCGTACGGCTCCCGTGCTCGTGCTTCTCCTGATACCCTGATCTGCAATACAAAAATATATCTGCCTTTAAATTCACCCGTTTACAGGAAATTAAGCACGTAACCAAAGTATATGCAGAAAGCTTACGCAATGGATTTGGCGACATAAGTCGGTCTCTCATATCCGAGGCCCACGTTTGACACCTAGACCTAACGGGGTTCCTTTTGACGACCAACGGTCGGTGGTACTTCGCCATTCTAAAAAAACAATAACAAAAACACAATTGTCAATATAATATATACAATATAAAATAGACGGAACGCAACAATGAAAAAAGGAGCTACGCTTACGTGGACTCGAATTCCTTCAGATTCTTTCTGGCTAAAGTCTTCTGAGTAGCGAACGAGTACGATCGAGCAGAAGTCGGGCGTTCCGCTCGAGACTCCTTGATTTCGCGATCCTGCGCGATTACTTTCATTCTTTTCGTCGGCGACTGGGCGAATAATTCCACTATATTCATGGACGCCGCATCACACTTGAAAACGATAAATCGTCTTATTATTATGCGACCGAAAATCTCTGAATACAAGCAGTAAAATAATTTTATAAGTTAAGGAACAAGCGTGTAATTTACCTGCAACTGGAGACGATGAAGGAAATCCACCTCCGCCGAGTTTAAGGGCGCGTCAACGTGTAACTTAAGCATACATTGCAACGCCTCCTTATATATCTTTTTCAACGTGATAACGCGCTCGGTCCGCATTAATCTACGCACTAAGTAACCACGTGTGTAAGCGTTGATGATATTCACCGCCCGTACCTACACAGTAACATAATTTTAATGAGTTTCTCAACAACGAAACATTGAAATACGTTAAAAAAATAATAAATTTTAAAAGTACTCACGTGTTTATCAAGATATGCCGTGGTGTCCAGCACCGGTACATGCGTGGTATTGCTATCTAAGGGAAATAACTGCCGACTCACGTTGGAATTCCTACATACAATAAGATCGCGCGACTCGCAACTGCTGCTGTCGTCATTATCGTTATTATTGATATTGTTGTTGTTGTTATTATTATTATACGCGGTATCGCATAAACTCACTTTTCTCGTAAAGTCAAAATCGAGAGCCGGAGAATTGTCCGCGGTAAAGGACTGATGTTTAAGCAGGTATAAATTTCTCGGAGAGAGGTAATCCAACGGACATACGATCACTCGATTCGCCAACGGTAATTTAACATTACGATGCGCTTCCATCGGTATATTGCCGGGAGAATTTATGTTCGACTGCTGCCTTGCCTCGTTGCTCGACAACGATCGATTCGAGGTAGCGTTCGATGCGTTCGCTTGACGCGGACTTCCGGAGGCACACTTTCGTATCTCGGCCAACAAGAGCATCTGTTGCTTCTGGAATTCCGCTTGCAGCAGCGATTGCTCTTTCTGCTGACGATATATCAGCTCCATCATCTGCTTCTTGTGCATCTCCTCGATCTCTTTGTAGACCATCAAGAGCTTATCCGGCGTGGAAGACTTCGTTTTGACATTTGAATCGCGATGTTTTGTGATACTTTCTTTTTTACTACACTGCTTTTCATCTACGCGAGACAACTGAATTTTAGGACTATTCGTATCTTCTGCGCACTCTCTACTCGACAAATTTGATACGCTGGTGTCACTGTTCCTCTCTGATTTGTCTAAGGAACTTTGCTTCTTAAAATCTGCATTAGATCTACGATTATGTTTAGTTGGCGTGGCGTCCGATCTACACGCATTTTCAACGATTATCCCTTTAGTAGAACTAGTAGATTTGATTTCTTGACGTGATTCTGTCGAACTATCGGATTCTCTATGCTGAAGAGTTGATTTTTTTGCTGTACCTTCTGATTTACTTAAAGCTTCAACACCTTCTGCCACAAATTGTTTATTTTCCCACTCCACCTTAGGCTGCGCAATGTTCCACTGTTTTCGTTGCGATACATCAGTGGTACGTGTGGGAACGTAGTTTTCGTCAGATAATTCTGTATGCATGTGAGCGAGCAACATGGGACTGGGTGTATCCAATACGTAAGAACCTTGACGTGACAATTTAGGTGGATCTTCAGTTTCTTTGGAAACCCCTATGGAAGAAGAGGTATCTTCCTCATCGTTACTTAACGTTATGGGAACTATGTCCAGCGTTCTGGGTACCTCGGGCTTCCAACTCTCTGCTAACGTCACATCTTCGTCTGGCGTCGCCACCTCTATAGCATCGATACATTTATTATGATCAGTCACAGCAGCTATAGGTTTTGAATCGTTAACAGTGTTGTTCGTTAAACAAACTTGAAATTGCGAATGCTGTACGTCCGATATGGGGGACTGGATATCGTGATCATCTCCAGTTTCGCCAGCATCTTGCGGCTTGACAATGGTCGTTTTGGAATGCGAGTCGCTGTTGTTGGTGTCGATGCTGGTAGCGACGTCACGGCTGGACACGTCGCTGTCCGAACTGTATCTGATACTCCTTATTTCATCTACTGGCTCTGTTATGTCAGCCTGCACGTATTTATCTCGAATGACGCGTTTAACGAGCCGTCTATCCCTCAGGTTCTCCTCCACTTTGACCGCCAGAGACCTGTAACGTCTCATTTCCTCCTTGAGGGTGTCGGTCATCTGAAAACGGCGTAATATTAACATAAAGCGATTCTGTACAACAGAAATAATAAGGTTGCGGTCCACTTGACGCTACAAATGCTTTGGAGCGTTTTTCTTCTCGTTCTTTCTTCATTGAAAGAAAAGAGAAGAGGAATGCTTCGAAGCATTTGGAGCGTCAAGTGGACCGCAGCCTAAATCAGCGTTGGTTAACGAGTAGGTACTTACTAGCGGTGGGAGAA